GCTGAGGAAACAGACCACACAACTATCTGTTTGAGAGGACCAAGATTTGAATCCATCTAGTCCAACTCCAGAGATTTTAAACCAACCCACATAATATGATTAAATGATGCATGTCTGCATAATATCTCATTTTATACAAATTGCATTCAATCTCTCTCGACTGGTTTACCAAAACATAAGCACAGGAAAATGAGAGGAAGTCAAAAGGAAAGAGAAGCACAATGGCAGAGCTTCTGAGGTTGTCTAATGCCAAGGACAGCGGAGACAAGCAAGAGCACTAGAATAAGTCATAAGAGAGAAAAGAGGAGGAATTCTGTGTATGAAAAAGGGTACGGTGAACAATGCATGCTGGGAAAGACTTCTCCGGAACACAAGGGAGAAACCGCGAGGAGATGCACAGAATCAACAGTTTGCAGAAAACTACAATGGCTAACAGTCGGGAGCAAAGTTCAGTACCATCATCTCACTTAACTAACATACCTTCCTGGGTTGCAGTTAGTGGGTGGTCCACTTTGTGAAACTGGTTTCTTTTGGGGATAAACTTGGCTTATTCCTGACAATTATTACGAATTCTGAGCAAAAGTATATTTGCATCAAAGATAAAATATATCTTGTGTGTATGCAAGTTAAAGACTACAACAGTAAAGTTACTCAGCAATGAACTGAGCCTTTTTTGAGTGACAGATATTCTATAAGCCTCACCAACAATGTCATGTAGCTCTTAAAACAACTCACTCCTATAAACCAGCATCATTATTCCCCTTAAATTTAGCAAAATAAGAATCAATGAAGTAAATTTTGCAAGAACTTAGAACCAAAGAGTGACAAACCCAAGATTTACTCCACATGTGTAATATTCACGTAAACATTTCCAAATCAATACCACGTGCCTAAGCATTTCCTTGCTTTACATTACTCCCAGGACAATAGCCATATTTCAGTATTTCACTGCATTTATCTCAAGGAAGCATCACTCTCTTAAAAATAAGCAGTCTTGGTTATTCCAGAGATACAGATGGAAACAACACTGAGATTCCACCTCACCCCAGAAAGAATGGCTGCTATGAAGAAATCAACCAATAACAAATGCTGGCGGGGGTGTGGGGAGAAAGGAACCCTTTCTATTGTTGGTGGGAGTGCAGACTGGTGCGACCACTGTGGAAATCAGTACGGAGATACCTCGAAGAACTAGGACCAGAGGTCCCATTTGACCCAGCTATTCCCCTACTAGGTATCTTCCCAAAAGAATTAAAAGAATCATACCACAGTGATA